TATATATATATATATATATATATATATATATATATATATATATATATATATATGTATGTATGTATGTATGTATGTATGTATGACCCCTAGAACCCTATTGTCTGTTTGCTCTTGGATATTGCTGTTTTTGTTAGACAGTACACGGAACACAGAACAGTGCTATCCTTTCCATGGCGATAGAACCTTCCAGCCACGGCGGCTGATGTGTGAAGGACGCACACAACCTTAAATAAAGCACCACACTTAGATGGCCTCTGTCATCACCCAGAGCTGCCTGGGAGGTGTCTGCCACATGTGTACTGTGTGTGCTAGCCTGTAGGGGGTGCTATTCTCCTCTGCGGCAAAGGGGGCTAAAAGGGTATGTAGTCACACTGGCATGCAGAGTGGCATAAATGATACAGGTAGGTCTCAATTTTACGAGTTAATTCGTTCCAAATCATTGCTCATTAATCAAGAACTCATAAACTGGGAAGTATTTTCCCATAGAAATGTTATAAAAATGATGACTTTGGTTCTAGCCATTTTTTTTTCGTAAATTTTTGCCAAATAATACTATGTTTGTATTTCCATTGTTTATGTTGCATTTCATCAACAATATATGCACATTTAAACAAAAAAAAAGCACTTTGCTAAAATTGTAACATTCGGAATTCAGGTCGCTTTGATTTTCCACTGATCAGGCGCTTTCATGTGTTTCATGAGCTCACAAACGGCACGTAGAGTGAACCTGGCGTATTGGCGGGATCAGGTTGGGTCGTGAAACGAAGTGGCACAAATCGGGCGCCATCGTAAAATATGCCGTAAAGCGTAATGCTGCACGTGCGCAGGATGAGCGAGGTATAAACCCGGCATGTGCAGGCAGATATTTCACAAAGCAAAGTTATCTGACAACTTTGTCTGCATTTTTCGGGCACCGTGCGATGTTTCGTGCATATGTCTTGGAAGTGCCTCCATCTCCCAGCCAGGCATGGACACCTTCTAAGCTCCTCCCAATTTATGCGACTCGTCCCTTTCTTGAGACTCCAGGATTCGAGTCCCAGTACCATTAGGCAGAGAATGGTATAAAAAATGCTGCCGATTTGTTCTTTTCATATTTCTGGCAGGTAGCTGTTAGCTCCTCATTCTAATTCAAAGTAGCATGAAATCAACATTTAGAAATGACCGAGAGATCCAGCACAACATACACCCCGCCCCCCCCCCGAGATTTACCGAATGTCAGGGAGTACAAAGATGACATTTCTCCAGGTACGACGTCGTAAGTGGTGGGGCTAACCGCTAATGCACCCTCCCATCCTGTTCCATATTGATTGAATCCACAGTGACTCCAAACACCCGCCTGCCTCCACAGCACGTACACGCGTGTGATGAGTTCCCAGTAGACCCCCCCCTGCCGGCATCCTCTCCCACCTCTGTTTGCCTCCCCTGATCCATATAATTTGCCATTTATAAGTGCTCGGGTTGGATCAGACAACCGTTCCATGGGTGAGAGGAGCAGCGCACCCCCCCCAAGCCCTTCTCGCCCCCACCCTCGGTGGGACACTGGTGCTCTGATGGAGGACGTGATAGATCTGTTTGCTGCTCCGTTCAGGCGCTCCGTATCAGGAAACTGACAGGGCGGTAAATGAAATTTGCCTCGGATTTGTTTGGGGTTGCCTGTACTGGCCTTTTCCACGTCACCTGCTTAGTCTCCAGTGTCCATGTTCCACTTTCATTTACTGTCCAGCGTTTACATTGGATGAGATTAATCCTCTAAAAAAAAACAAAAAACCTGTGGACTAGTTATACGATACCCACACTCTTATTTTATTTTTTTTAATAAAGGCTTCTTTAATATCGTTTTTCCGGAAAAGGATGAAACAGACTGCAGTGTCACCTACGAGTTAATAGTTTCTGGAGATGTACCACCCTAAATTTGCTGTGTACTTTATTGCCTTCATTTGCTCTGCGTTCATTGAGCGAATTAGGAGGCACTCTTTGTAAGAGTTTTGAAGCCTTGCTCAGTAATTAGAAGGTGACATTAATTTGTCCTGCTTTTTGTGTGTTTTTTATTTTTTTGCATATCTTTGAACACTGTTATTCAAAACCTGTAATTAGAATTAATTTTCTGAAAGCACAGAAGAAATGCGGTTTTGGGGGTTTTCAAGGGGATAAAAAAAAATACAAAAAAGGAATGTAAAGCCACACACCCAACCCTCCTGCAACCCCCCCCACAAAAAAAGTGATTTGGAGCATGCCTCTGAGCTGGAAAAGCACCCATGGCTTATTCCCATCCAGGAGAAATGGCTTCCTTTCACAAAGGGGCTGCTATTGTCCCTCCCCCAGGCTGTTGTGTGTGACTCAGGGGGTGAAAAAGTCTTATTTATTTCGTAGGTCACTGAGCATCAGCATATTGGCCCATGCCCAATGTACAGGCTTCAACTTAAGGTGGCGCTGTGACTGTGTTGATCGTGCTGTGACCTCACACTTGCAGGTTTGTGGGATTGATTCCTGTACATCAGTCCTGTGTGTGTGTGCTTGCTTGCCTTCTGATTGGCCCTTCTCTGTCCCGCCTGACTTCCTGTACTACCTGGGACATGCTCCAGGGTTATTGTGACACTTTGTGAGAGAAGCGGTTATGTGAGATGGATGGATGGAT